AAGAGATGATTGTACAAGTTTCTAGGCCATGAACACCACCGACCAATGGTTATGTTGCTCTGTCAGTGGATGGATCATATTCTGGGGAATCCGGCACGGCAGTGGCATGAATGATTCTCCGACAACATGATGGTTCAGTTATTTTCGCAACATATCGATTTATTTTCAATTGTATTGATACACTGGAAGCGGAGATACATACAATCATGCAAGGGATGTTGCTTGCTATACAACATTCCGTTCTTCCAGTCATGGTGCAATCTGACTCAATTGAGGCTTTATCCTGTCTATTGGGGGATGGACTAGTAGTTATGCTTATAGTCATCTTATGGCTGAAATTAAGGAGTTGATGATACAGATGATGTTTACTCCGTAGAAGTTAATTAGGAATCAAAATAGAGTTGCCGACCACTTGACAAATTATAGTCGTAGTATAGAATGTACCACAGCTGTGTGGATGCACCTTGGACCATCATGTATTGAGAATCTTTTACCTCTCAACTGTAACTCTCTAAATATGGAATAAAACTCTTTTTTTCCCAAAAAAGAGTTTGAATAAAGACTCTAGTTCGCTTATAAAAAATAAAATAAAATTCGGAGCAGGCAATTACGACCTAAATGCCACCGGCATCTCCACGCCTCGCACAAAAAACCAACTCGCACGACTCGTCGTTCTGTCGGCGCTCGTTCCACATCGACCGCATCCAGCGCTAGGGTTGCGGGAGGCAACCGCGCCGCCGCCGCCGGAACCGCCTCGCCAGCCCCGTCGCCGCCTTCCTGCCGCGGCCCCTCTTCCTCCTTTCCCTCTGCGCCGCCCTCGCCCCTCTGGCCCCTCTGCCGAAGCCGCCCACCTGGGCCCTCGGCCGACGTAAGAAATTTGTGCTGCTTACTGTGAATGCATGGATGGATGAATTCTTGCTGCTTACTATGAATGGATGGATGGATGGATGAATGTTACTACTATGTTGCCACTTTCATCTCTCTGTTCGAACCAACCATGATGCTGCTGTTTGCTATTAGCTTGTTTGATGGATGGATGGATGCATGGTATTAGTATGAACAACTTTTTTTTGTACTGTCTACTGTCAATGGCGTTGTGTATGTGAGAATTTTTGATCATTTTTTGTACTGTGCTGCTGCTGCTTGGTACTAGTTGCTACTTTAAATTCTTGCTAATGGATAGATGTTGCAGATGGAGAAAGTCAACGACCCCATAAAGAGGGTGGATCAGGACGGCCAGCACCGTAAGGTCGATCTAGGGTTTGATAACCTGCCAAGAGCCGCCGCCGACCTAGCCAACTCCATGAGAAGTATGCTGCAGAGGGTTGCCGCCGGAGGGAGGCCCGAAAGAGCATCTTCTTGGACCATCTTCTGCGATCTGCAGGTATTACGACATCTATATCCGCCCTTTTGATTATGAACCTGGTAGCTAGAGCAAATAGTTTTTCGACGCATCGATGTAGCTCGATGGAAGCATTATTGATTACTGATTATTGGTTATTGATTACTACTCCCCTTGGTCCCGAATTAGTTGTCTCAGGTTATTCTAGATGCAGATGTATCTAGACGACAAATCTAAGACAACTTATTTAGGACAGAGGGAGTATTATATTTTGTTTCTTAATTCTCTACAATTCTTGATCCTCTACTGAAACAGACTTGCATCTCTGAGCCCCTTAGAGTTACTCATTACGCTCTCGATGCTGTTCGACGACTTTTCTGTAATAGAGGAATGGGAAGAGGACGGGAATGTGCAATGGGGATGGAAAGAGAAACTGTCAATACTGCTGAGGAGCGAACGGGACAAAAACAATCTGCTGATGCCGATTATTATGATTATTACATCAACCTACAGGCTGAGTATTACCTCCAAGTCACCGACGATAATGACCGCAGAAACTTTGAAGACTCCGACCACGAAGAAGTTGATCCAGATTGGCCTCCGCCGAGTCTCGCAATTTACTATGGTGGAGATAGCCCTAATGTAGACGCGGCTTACTGTTTTTCCCGGGACCTGGTGGAGCTGTTGTCTGTGCGTCCTCGCTTTCCCTTTGCGGGCACCTTCGCTGCCTTCAACGATCGTTCTGCCTACTACTTCTCCTCGCCGAAAGGTCAACAACAACGTAATGTGGATTCTCAGGTATTGCCTATGCATTCATGTAGGAGTACTAATATTTTTATTACTCCCTGGGTCCTAAATTAATTGACTCAGATTTGTCTAGACATGGATGTATCTAGGCATGTTTTATTGTCTAGATACATTTGTATCTAGACAAATCTGAGTCAGTTAATTTGGGACACAGGGAGTATTTGTTTTATGTATCTCCTTTTGAATCGTGTTTCATATATACACAGGGAAATTTGTTACTCCGTGCACAAGGCAAGGCCATTGAGGACGCCTTTCAAATTAAAATTGAAATCCCAGATGGAGATAATGGAATTGATTATGGGTACCTGGTCTTCAGGGTAAACCCGTACGCGTGCAACGAAGTTATAACCCGCACCATCCTGACAGCTTGTGGCCGCAAAATAGACGTGGCTTTTGTGCCGCTCTACTGTGCTATACAAGCAAGGGTGTTTGTCACCCTTGATTTGGTAGCTGGTGCTGGCTCTAGCACGGGTGGCGCCATCTATTATGTCTACGGCGAAATCACTGCACACCATCAGTTCTACGGCGACAAGAATGCCATGCTCTTTTACTGTGAAGAAGGGAACAAAGCGGAGGTTGTTGGCGGCAAGCTTCCACTGTTACGGTCTTGGGCGGCTGTTCCGATATACTTAGATCCGCTCTTGATAATCAAGTTGAGCCTTCACGTCTCTACTAACCCTGAGCATGATCCTGATGGTCATACCATCTCCTTCCAAGGTGATCTTAGCTTCGACCGTGACCAGTATGAAAAATCCATTTGCAACGCCCACCATGGCGCAGTTAAAGTGCGGATCTCTTACGAGTAATTGCCCTCTTGAGGGAAATGTTGTGTTGTACGTTAACGTTGTGGGTGCATATTGGATCTGTTGGGCTTATGCTATATAACTCGCTTATGCTGTTTTCGTATTTAAAAAGTCGGAATTATGTACTGGGGACATGCCAATTTTCTACTACTGTATAACAATGGTGAGAACATTTGTTCCTTGCAAACCATAGGTTCAAAAAGATAAGTGCTACTCCCTCCGTTCCTAAATATTTGTCTTTCTAGAGATTTTAATAAATGACTACATACGGAGCAAAGTGAGTGAATCCACACTCTAAAATATGTCTATATACATTCGTATGTGGTAGTCCATTTGAAGTCTCTAGAAAGACAAATATTTAGGAACGGAGGGAGTATATTATAGTTGACCACCATCAGCTAGAATATATTGATCTAAACACGTCCGAAATAATTCAAGGCCAAGCCCACCCACCAAATGAGCATATGCTTGACAAGGGAATCAATCAACGGAGATAAATATTTCACAGTTCATGATTCAAATTGTCACTTCAAGTTATTTCAGATCTAGTAGGACAAAAATGTGTAAAATAGGAGGAACCAACTAGAGAGCAACAATTCAGTGCCCAAACTCATCTGCACATGGGGTGAAGAAAAAATTCAAAACAAATACTAGAAAAATTCAAACGATTCCAATTTGTTTTGCATGGTAGACAATTTGATGCGCTAGGTGTGCTCCAAATTTCAGACCATTTGGACATCTGAGTAGCTCTCGACAAAAAAGATAAATTTGGGGTCTGTAAAAAAGTTTGTTGTTCATGTATTGTCATGACCCAATTTATATTTTTGCTGAGAACTACTCATATGTCCAAATGAACTGAAATTTGGAGTGTACCTCACATGCCAAATTATCCACCATGCAAAAAATAATTGGATTTTTAAAATTCGTATTGTATTTTTTGTGAATTTTTTCTTGACAGGGCAGATGAGCCTAGGCTCAGAAATGGATATTGGAAACCATCTGTACTTAATTTAAAGCGAAAATCCCAAACAGCAGTTACACGATAAGCATCCACCAAGAGAAGATTCGCCGAACAATTCCCACAAGTAGTGGGAGGCAAGACGTTCAATTCATTGTTAGCACGTCCTACACGAGAGCTTTTCTTTCCCTTCTAGAAGGCGACTAGGGAAAACCTTCCTCCCCTCGATCTTCACCGGTGAGTCCGTGGATTCGCCCCTTCTCCGCCCGTCGCTCCGGTGGCCGGTGGCGGTGAGGGGATTTCTGATGCATCGGATCTGGCTAGTAGATACGCAGGGTTTTAATTATCGCAGGGGCGACATTTCTTCTTCGAGTCAGTCTTCCAGGCTCCGATCCTCGTTTTAATCTTCGCAGGGGCGGCGTTTCTTCTTCGAGTCAGTGTTCCAGGCTCCGATCCTCGTAAAATTCGTCCGTTGGGATGGATTAGACAAAACTTTGACGTTGATTCCTGCCAGCTCCTCGGAGCGGCGAGGTTAGGGTTTCTCGTCGTGCGTACGCAATGACGATATTTGGTGTGGGGTTCTTAAGATCGATTCAAGGATTCAACAGCGACAACTATGGCTCCAGGGCGCTGGTCCTTAGGGGCACATGCACGAAGACTTCTCGGCTGTAATTGACAAAGTTAGGTCGGCTTTGATATGAGAGCGGCGACAAATACGACGGTGAGAAGATGTAGAGGAAAGGGCGGGGCGGTGAGGCGGCACATGGCCTGCAACCACCAGCCGCAGGGGATGCAGTCAAGCAGAAGGGGTGGGGCAGGCTGACGGTTGCACAAGGGCCTGATCGGATCATTGCTTGAGGAAGAAGTAATGAACGGGAAAGAAAGTCCGTCTCCGAGTGGAGCACCGACTCACACGATCCATGGTTACACGTACGCGTACGTACGCCTCCCTAGCTACGGAAAAAAGAGACCGTGTGCGTGTACGCTTCTCCCCAAGTCGAACCCCTTCTCGGACTCCCCCTATAGAGTCTACAAAAGGGCCGGCAGCACGTGTGCACCGACGTAACCTATTGCATAACTCTCAGCAGCGATGGCGATGGAGACCAGCCTTGAGACGATGCCCAAGATGGAGGATCTCGTCGCCGCCTTCGCCGCCTCCGTCACCATGTCTGGCAGCAGCAACAACAGCCTCCCTGCGCCGCGCCCTGCTGCCACAGCTTCGACGTCGACGTCTACAAGCCCGGAGATGAAGATGGTGCTCAACATGGAGGAGCTGGTCGCCGCCTTCGCCGCCGCCTCGGTTGGCCTCGCCGCCCCACCACCCAATGCGCCGGCGACCGTGCCTTCCCATACTAGGACGATGATGAAGACGGAAGAAGAAGAACGCGAGCCGGCCAAGGGGGAGGAGGCGTGCGTCCTGCGCGTGCGGTTCCCGGACGGCCGCGTCACGTGCAGGAGCTTCGGCGCCGGACGCCCCGTCGCGGCGCTGTTCAGGTACTGCCGCTCGGTGCTGCTCGGGGAAGGCGGCGCGGGGCGGAGGCCGTTCCGGCTCGTGAAGCTCGCCGGCGGCGCATCCGACGAGGTGCGCGCCGGCTCGGCCTCGTTCCGCGATCTCGGGCTGCACCGCTCCACCGTGCACGTGGTTCTGGCGTGATCAACAGATCGGATTTTCTCGTCGATGTAGGATTCAGCAGGAGTAGTTGATAGTCAACCACGATTGATCTTACCGGCTGCTTTTCCCGTGTACGTGTGTAATGTCTCTGTACATATCTAGATCGACAACCACGGTATATCATACCGTCGTGCCTTTTTGGCTGATTTAACTATTCACTTTATGAATAACATCGATTTGATTGCGCAAATTCCATCGGTGTTGTAATGTTGTATAGGATCTACACGTACGTTTCATGTGATCGATTGATGTCGTTTTTCCTGATGATGTTGATTTCCAGCACATTGAGACGAAATACTACGCTCGGCTCTGTTTTTGTTTCTGCATCCGGATCAAGGTTTGGCCACCGCCACCGGAAGCAACCTCATTAGGAAGTAGGACTACCTGTCATAACATACCTTTCATTGTACAGTCGGTCTCGTCTATAACTAGCCCTGTCAATTTTTTCGGATGATTCTTTGGACCGCTCTTCATCTGGTCACCTAGTCATGAAGACTAGTACATCAACCAAAGAGGCGTGCACGTACGTATGCACACATGCATAATTTTTTGAGCTTGTGCATGATATTACTAGCATAGCCCTACACACTTATGAACACTCTTTGATCCATGTATGTATGCACGAAGACGCGAAAAATATTTATACACATGCCCGGTCCTGAGATTTTGAGGGCCCGGGGCGAAACTAGGACATGGGCGCCAGCATTCCTAGACACAACCAAAAAATCACCCCATTAGGAGAGGTGTCATCTCAACGACTCGCCTCTTGGCGCGGCCGAAGGGGCCATGATGCACAAGAAATCAAGCGTTGATTAAATACAAGTCAACATGGGTGATTGCAGAGGAGATCAAGCCAAATTGCATTTACCATCAAGCGAGCGAAATTGCGCTAACACGCTCTAGCGGATGTTGGACTGTTTGATGTACAAAAATGATAGCGTGCAAAAAATTGTATCACAAAAAGAAAAAAAATTGGCCGGATGACAACTAAACTCAACCTATACAAAAATACCAAAACCAAAGTAAGATGTTAGAACCCTAAACATTGGTTACGAAACAATTAGCTGTAACTCATAACATGGAATCATCTCTTTTTTTACGGGGTAAAGGGATTGTATTGATTAAATAATAGTCACATTACAATCCCGTAGGATGAGGTCTAATATTTCATCAGGCCCTGATCCTAACCAAACTACTGTTCGTTTCTCTAGACGACCAAAACGAGCAAGCAGATCGCTCGCTTGGTTCATTTCCCGGGAGATTTTGTTGACTACAAAACGTCTCCCTTGGTTCATGAGATGCTTCACGTGCTCAACTAGATGGCCTAGCTGTGAGCTATCTCAAGATGGATTATTAATCATCTTAGCGACCTTCATGGAATCTGTTTCAACAAGCACATCCTGCTGACTCCACTCCAGTGCAAGGGACATGCCTTCCATACAGGCACTTAGTTCCGCCTCAAGTGCTGATCCGCAACGACTAAGGAGACGGCAGGAAGAGAAAACAATTCGTCCATAGTCGTCACGGAGAATCATACCTGCCCCTGCCACCCCTGTACTCTCATTGTATGACCCATCAATATTCAGCTTCAGCATGCCAGCAGGTGGTCTCTCCCAACTATTGGTTGTAGCATGTGTTATATGTGAAACTACAGCCGGGGCTGGTCCATTCTGTACACCTTTTCCTCTGATAATTTGCTCAGTAGACTAGTTCTTGACCTGCGATAAACTTGCCAGGTAACTGCATAAGAACCGCCGGGATCCTTCCACAGATGGAAAAGGTGCTGGAATTTTTGTCTATTTGCGCCTAGCCCAATAGCAGTTTCAGAAATTCCTAATAAATCCTAGAGGCCCACGCAGCCCATTCGTGCAAGGCAAAAGGTGGAACTAAAGTTTAGTCCCACATTGCTAGTTTAGAGGGGGTTGGACCTCTTTATAAGGGAGGCTCCTTCCCCACTTGTATGAGCATGAGAACAAGAGGGACATCCACGCACGCTCCTCCTCCACCGCCCGCCTCGTCACGCCACGCCACGCCACGCCGCGGGTTGCGGGAATGAGCCAAGCCGATGTCTAAATTTTTGCCACGCACTACGGGTATACGAAAGGTCACTCGGGAGCTGAAAAGTTTTTGCTGTAGTGGACATTGAATACGAACGCTGCACCCTTCGGCTGCTGTCTGTTCGTTTCAGCTCCCGGCGCTGCCCTCTCGCCTCCTTCTCTTGCGCCTATAAAAGGGAGGTCGCTCCTCTCAGCGAGACACACCAGAACTTCTTCTTCCTCTCGCCACCGATTCCTGAGCACTGCGCTGCTGCTACGATCTTCCCCATCCCGGCTTGCGGCGTGCACCGCAGGTCGGGACAGTAGGCCTCCGAAACCGCACCTTTTGAGTCATGTACGGGAGAAGGGTGATAAGGTTTTTGGGGAGCGCTCTGCGCGACTACTGACTTCTACGTCACGGACGCCCCGGACTCCGACGACTACTTCCCCGACGTCGACAACCTCCTCGACGACATGGAGGACACCGACCCCAAGTCCAGTGCCTCTGCTCCTGCTGCTGTCATGTACGTGTTTCTCCCTTTTCTATTGGAGGTTCTGCTACAGTTTCTTGTTCTATTGTTTGCCCTAGACATGTTAGGCTCTACTTCAGATATGCATCTTGTTCTACTGTTTGCTCTAGAGATGATCGGTTCTAGCTCATATATGCAGATATTATTTATCTTCTCTTTGTCAAATCGCATGGCTTGTTTTATCACTGCTATACTAGTCATGCTTTATCTAGTATTTCTGTTAATAAAATCATTCGATAAATTGCTCATATTTCCAACAATCCAAAAACCTTATTATAGGCAATTTACCCCAAGTGGTTTTGCTACTTCCATGAGACCTCCTATGTTTGAGGGTATCCACTATAACAGGTGGCGCGTGAGAGCAGTCTTATGGTTTCAAACCATGAGTTGCTATGACGCCACTCTTGGCAAACCTGAAGGAGAGCAAGATGCCCAACAGGCACAAGCTTTTCAAAAAATGGATACTCTATTTAAGGCTGCTCTCTTGAGTGTTCTTGGTGAGAACATAGTTGATGCTTATGCATCGATTGACAATGGAAAAGATACATGGGACGCACTCGAGGCCAAGTTTGGGGTCTCGGATGCCGGCACTGAGCTGTACATCATGGAGCAATTATATGATTACAGGATGACTGAAGAGCGCTCTATGGTTGAGCAGGCTCATGAGATACAATCATTTGCTAGAGAACTTGAGCACTTCAATTGCATGCTGCCGGACAAGTTTGTTGCCGGGGGTATCATCACTAAGCTTCCTCCTTCATGGAGGAACTTTGCTACCTTACTGAAGCATAAGAGACAGGAGTTTTCTGTTCCGGATCTCATTGGTACTCTTGATGTGGAAGAAGAGGTGAGAGCAAAGGACACACGTGCTCGAGGTATTGAGGGAGGATCTAGTGCCAATCTGGTACAGAAGAAAAACTTCCAGTACCACAAGTTCAAGAACAAGGGCAAGCTTGATGGTAAAGCAAAGTTTGATGGGAAGAACAAGGCTGTGCAGCACACGAACTTCAAGAAGAAGAATGACAAGAAGAAAGGTGTTTGTCATGTGTGTGGAGATCCTGATCATTGGGCTCCTAGTTGCCCCAATCGCTATGACAAGCGTCATCCTGGGAAAGGCGGCAATACCGCTAATGTTGTCATTGGAGACACTGACATGAAGGATGATAGGTATGGTATATTTCCCACTATTCTTTCAGTATGTCATTCTCCTGATTGGTTGATTGACACGGGTGCTAATGTGCATGTATGCGGTGATATTTCCATGTTTTCGTCTTATCAGACCGCAGGGACTTCAACCGTGCTGATGGGCAACGGTTCAAGTGCTTCTGTTCGTGGTGTTGGCACGGTCGATCTGAAGTTTACTTTGGGGAAGATCGTGCGGCTGAAGAACGTGCATTATGTCCCCTCCGTCAATAAAAATCTTGTTAGCGGATCTCTTCTGTGTAGAAATGGCTATAAGCTTGTCTTTGAGTCGAATAAATTTGTAATATTCAAGTATGGAACCTTTATTGGTAAAGGCTATGAGTCAAGAGGCCTGTTTCGTTTATCCTTATCAGACGTTTGCAATAAAGTTGTTAATCATATTTGCAACAATAGTGAATCAAATGTGTGGCATTCACGTCTTTGTCATGTTAACTTTGGTTGCATGTTGCGACTAGCGAAGTTGAACTTAATCCCTAGTTTCACCACTGTCAAGGGATCTAAGTGTCAAATGTGTGTGCAAGCTAAGCAACCTCGTAAGTCTCACGTGACTGCGGAAAAGAGAAATCTTGCACCACTAGAACTTATACATTCAGATCTATGTGAAATGAATGGTGTTTTGACAAAAGGTGGAAAGAAATATTTCATGACGTTGATTGACGACTCCACTAGATACTGCCATGTGTATCTTTTGAAATCTAAGGATGAGGCTTTGAACTTTTTCAAGATCTATAAAGCTGAAGTGGAAAATCAACTTGATCGAAAAATCAAGAGGCTTAGGTCCGACCGTGGTGGAGAGTATTTTTCAAATGAATTTGATGCTTTTTGTGCGGAACATGGTATAATCCATGAGAGGACGTCTCCCTACTCACCTCAATCAAATGGGGTGGCCGAAAGAAAGAACTGTACTCTAACTGATTTGGTTAACGCCATGTTAGACACATCGGGTCTCTCCAAGGCATGGTGGGGGAGGCAATATTGACAGCATGTCATGTCCTAAATCGAGTCCCCACAAAGAACAAAGAGATAACTCCATTCGAGGAATGGGAGAAGAAAAGGTTAAAACTCTCTTATCTGTGAACATGGAGTTGTTTGGCGAAAGTCAATGTTCCAATCCCAAAGAAGCGGAAGCTTGGACCAAAGACTGTGGATTGTGTTTTCCTGGGATATGCTTTTCATAGCATTGGCTATAGATTCTTGGTTGTAAAATCTGAGG